CACACGCGCTTACTCACACAAACACGCACTCACATTCACTCATGCATGTGTTCTCACTGTAAAAAATGCGATAACTTAATATTCTAAATAGGATATAAAGTACCTTTAGCGCGATGCGCTTTGAGTGTTTCAGTAGCAATAGCTGCAATCTCTTCATTGGTGGTTTCCAGCAGTATTTCGGTTAGTGTGCGACGCACAACAAGCATCTATAGATTGGGTTTTTATAGATTGATTGCGCTGTTTCAAATGCCTGACGATAATAAAGTGGCGCCAGACAATGAAACCCCTTGCCGATACTTATGAGAATAATATTGAAAGGTTCTCTATTTAAATTAATATTCAGTATTTAGCAGTGCACTGAATAGAAGAATTTATGTTTGAATATTAAGTTGTCTGGCAACTTAGATAAATAATGGAATTGAAGAAGCATAGCTAGTTGACTCTAGTTATAACAAATATTTTCAAGTTAGCCTAAATGAAACAAAAATTGATGATCAATGGCTAAATTTGGAAGTACTAATTACACTTTACATTCAAATTGCTTATTTTGCAAGGGACACGAGGAGTACGATTCGGTTTTGGGTTTCATTGCCTGGACGAGCGCACCCAGACTTAAAATTGTGATGCCTACCAGATCGGCCAGTCTTTCTTCGTACGTTTTACCACTTAATGCAGCTTCAGCATTGGCTGACCTTGCAACTGTTGCTTCAACGTGCCCACTGTCTACATCATGCTGTGGCCGACTTTCCTGCTGCTCGTCGTCCTCCTGCTCGTCATCGCTGTTGCTGGGCTTAATCAATACTTCATTACCTATTAGCTGAGCCAGGCTGGGCGCTAGAGTGGCCTCCACCGGGGCAGCGTTTGAATCTTCGCTGTCGCTTGCCTGAATTTCGAATTCAAGTTAATGGCAAGGCGTTTGATTTAGTACGCTGACACTTTGGCCTGGTGTGTCGTGCTCAAGTGCAACCAGTTTAAATTCTTGTTGCAACGGGCACAACTTAAAATCGAGTCAAGTGCAGCCCATAGACACACTTCGCTACTTACCACATTCGACATGTTCAAGAGATTAACAGGTGTTGTTAGTGATTTGCTTGATACTTGCTTAACATTGATCTCTGGCGTCTCGCACTCCGTTGTGGTAGCTTGTCGCTCTAGCTGCTTTTGCTTCTCACGTTCCATTTTCTCCAAGCCCTCTCTGAAATATACAAACCATTTATTAATTACAATATAAAAAAACATAATAATACTTCACAATTCAATCTTAAATCGACTATTCTTAGGCAACGTAAGAAACAATTGCATTTAAAATTAGGATCTGAATCATTTTGATTGAACAATAAATTCCATTTTCACTTTGCTGTACTTTAATAGCAATTAAATTACTAATCCAATGTACTTTTACCTAATCCAAGCTGGTAGCATTTTGCGTTTGTTTGCATCAATGTCGGTGCTGACGACACCGCTGCAGCTGGCGCTGCCAGTGACGGTAGAGCTGCTACTTCTCGGTAGAGGAAGTTGTGCTTGCTGATGCATCGCTGGCTCATTCGGATTGCAAACGTTGAGTTTTAAAAGCGATGGAATATGGGCTGTCGGATTGTTACGTGTTGACCAATCACTCCACTGCTGAGGGTCTGGGGCAACTAAAGTTCGTATTACAGGAATATTAAAATTGATATGAAATTGGGGCAAGTCTATGTCAGTTGTGGCAATCACTCACCCGTATCGTGTGATGCAATATTGGGTAGATCGTTTACTCTGCCTGCCATCCACTGAGATTGCGTAACCACAGGCGGAGGGGGTAGACTTTCGATGCAATGCGCCATGCGTGCACTATTTTCATTTTCTTCCTCATCCATATCCATGTCCATCTCTGCCTCGCCGTGTTCCTCGTAGTGCGTTTGAACTTTAGGCGGCTGTTGCTGTTGCTGCTGCTGCTGGCGCAGCTGTTGCTGCTGATGATGTTGATACTCTGGCGTATTGCTTATAATCGGTGGCGGAGGTGCAATCGGCATGTTCATGCTAAAATTAGCCATGGGAGGCGCTGCTGACGAGTCACGCATGTGTATCCACTGCTGAGCCAGTTGCGCCCAGTCTATGCCGCCTTGCACATTCATTGGCATGACGGGCGTCGCAGCCGCCAATGGATTGGCGACTCCAACACCGGGAATCGGAACAGGCCCGGGGCCTGGTGCAACCAGAAAATGTGGTTGTTGCGCCATATATTGATTGTGTTTGTTGAAGCCCAGATCGGCATTTGTGTTGCCACCCGGGAACATTTTGTTTACTCCTATATTGAACACTATATTAATGTTTGCACTTGAGTTGTCCATTTCCTAAAACGATTTTTCGACTTCTACGCCATTTTCTTACTCTATACATATGTATAGACATTCACATACGACAAGTAACACATTGACTACCAGCATTATTGTTGTAGTTTTTAACAACATTTACAAAGTAACATTCGTATAAATCCATTTGTATGATTTTTTAGACGTTTTAAAAACCTTCCCAGCACATTTGTACTTTCATTTATTCTAACAAATTGCTGCTCCCACTAGAATTTATCTTTCGATATTTTTCCATACAATAGTTATCAAAGAATTGTAATCGACATTCACTAGGAAACGCATGCACGCGCTTCCAAATTCAAACGAACGGCATTTTATTTTCGCCCAGAGATCACTGTGATCAGACCTAGAATTTGCACCAATTCAATTGAATACGTTTTTTGTATGACTGATTAAGAACAATTAATTTTAGCTTAACAAATATGTCCCAAAAACCAAATAATGTGTTGCGTGCAAAGGAAAATGCATTACCCAAGACAGGACCTGCCGCTGCTCCTGTCCATTCTGCAATGGCTATGCAGAAAAAGCAATTGTTAACAAAAAAGGTGAGCATTGTATTGTAAGGAAATCGGATTTCACATTGCTTCTGCAGTTTAATACGTGTTTAAATATGTACATAGCCAACGACTGAAAAAGTGCCGCCTAATGACAATAAAACTGGCGCACAATTAACAAAAGCCATAGTGAAGCCCGCGATTGGCTCACAGCAAAAACAACAAAATACGGCATCGGCTCCTGTAGCGGAAGCTAAAAAAAATGTAAATCCTGTTTTGACTAAGAATGAAAAGCAAGTTCCGCCATCAGCCACTGCTAGTAGTAGTAGTAGTAGCAGCAGCAACAGCAACAGCAACACCAACGCCAACACGAACACTGAAAAGGATAAGACTGGTAAATCGCTCTAAAATATATTAATTAGGAGTGAAATAATCTGTATTTCAATGTTCAGACTCAGCACCAGCCAAACCCAAAAAGACTTGGGCGCTCAGTAACTTTGACATTGGTCGCCAGCTGGGACGTGGAAAATTCGGCAACGTGTATTTGGCTCGCGAAAAGGAATCCCAATTTGTCGTTGCACTAAAAGTGCTTTTCAAGCGTCAAATTGGTGAGACCAAGGTGGAGCATCAAGTGCGACGCGAAATCGAAATTCAATCGCACCTGAGGCACCCACATATCTTGCGTCTGTATGCCTATTTTCACGACGAAGCACGCATCTATTTGGTTTTGGAGTATGCGCCCCAAGGAACGCTGTTCAGCGCACTGCAGGCGCAGCCAATGAAACGCTTCGATGATCGTCAGTCGGCCACTTATATCAAGGCCCTCTGCTCAGCGCTTTTGTACTTGCATGAACGCGATATCATTCATCGGGATATTAAGCCGGAGAATCTGCTCCTTGGCCACAAAGGTGTGTTGAAGATTGCCGATTTCGGTTGGTCCGTGCATGAGCCGAACTCGATGCGTCTGACCCTTTGCGGCACTGTTGACTATTTGCCACCCGAAATGGTGCTAAACAAGCCGCATACCAAGAATGTAGATCTTTGGAGCTTAGGTGTGCTCTGCTTTGAACTGCTTGTAGGTCATGCGCCGTTCTTTTCAAAAACCTATGAAGAGACTTATCAAAAGATACTTAAAGTGGATTACAAAACACCGGAGCACGTTTCGAAAGCTGCGGCTCATTTAATCTCCAAGCTCCTAGTGCTAAATCCGATGCATCGAATGCCACTGGATCAGATTATGTTACATCCATGGATTGTGGCGCACACTCAGTGAATCGCTGGACTGGTTGAATCTTATATTCATTTCAACATTTGTATTTTATTGTTTCAGTTTCTTCAGTTCATCTGACTTCATATTTAAAATTCGCCAGAGCGCCAGTTATTTAATTATCGCATTAATAAATTTTAATTATAATTTATAGAATACATGATTAACATTTATGCAATTTATATTCATTTTGCTTTAAATAAAATTTCTGTTTCATTTAATTAATAGACACATTTTGTTCGTTCTACTTTTACATATGAGCTTATTAAATTATTATTTGAGGGACTTAGCATATCCTAGTACATATATAAATGAGTATAGACAATTTGTTTAAAGCAACCAAAAAATGCAGCTTAGCAAGTTTTTATCACAGAAAACAAAGTACATACTTACATCAAGAGAACTATTGAGTTAAAAGTGGGAAAATAAAGCGCAGCTAATTCAATATAAAACGCCTCAAAATCGATTCAAGAGCATTGAATTTTTAGTTGTATTCGTGCAAACTTTAATTAAACAAAGTATCTGTTTGCATATATACAATATTATTGGCTTAGCTATTAGAGTTTCAATTTGTCACATCATTTTTTTTTTAAATAAATTGTTCAATACAAAATGTTTAAAACAGTGTGGGGTGCATTAAAATATTTTTAAAATTTAAAGTTTAGTGACATGATTTAAGCCAATTGTATTGTAGATTCAAATATTAAAATGGTTAAACTAATACTTTTGAATGAAATAGTTTGAAAATTGCACAGCTTGTTATTAACTTAAACAAATTCAGTAATATATTCCAGCGAATGTGAACTCGTAATTTTTTCAGCAAATCTTATCAATATAAAAGGGACTGAAACTTAACTAAAGTGGCTGGTTTTTGGTTTTCTTCTCTTCTTTATCAAAAAGAACTAACCAAAACTGCCAGAGAGATGCCATAATTAAATCCTATCGTAAGCCATTATTAAATCTATAGTGAATCATCTAATTTCTAACGGGCGAATCTGCGCCAGGCTTGCGTGCCGGCATGTTGTAGTCATCCTCTGAAAAGTAAATATTGAATTATGAGTTTAAGAAATGAATACAATCATATTTACCGTCTTGATCTTCATCCATGCCATCGTCCAGATGAACAGCCTCACCAAATTCCTTGCCCTGATCCCCAGCGATTTCATTGTTTAAATTGTCATTCTCCAGCAAATGCTGCGGCTGCTTCACAGCTACATCTCCAAGAATGACGTCGTCATCGTCATCGCCGCCACCACCGCCAACAGCGGCTGCATCGGCAGCGAGCATTTTGTTATCCGCTTCAGCTCCATGCGCACCAGCGAGATCACCATCAAATAAATTATGCTCGGCGCCAGGTAAATTGAAGTTCTGTTCGTTTAACGCATCTTTCACTTCATGCGCTCCAGAATCAAGTGCTCCTTGATTTTTGTTAGTCTCCAGATCGTTCACGACATTGGAATACCGATTATTGTTCTCGTTTTTTGGGAATTCTTCGGCTGCCGTGTCTACGTCTGCAGCTCCATCGGCTTTGCCATCGAAGTTGTCTGGAATGGGCGCAACATTCTCCGGCAGCTTACGTTCAGCCTTGACTTCCGCTGATGGTTTCGCTGGTGGCATGACCAATGGCGGCTGACCACTACTGCTGCTTCCCAAAGCCTTGGGCGCAACTGAAGCATTTGGGGATACTTCGGAATTCGGAGTACTAGAGTTAGATTTGCGCGGTGCACTTAGTGGCGAAACAGCTGAACCAGCTGCAGCCAACTCGGGCTGCTCTTGCTGCTGTTGTTTGTTTGTTTCATCAGCTAACGTTTTAAGCGGTTTGGGCACAATCTGAAAATTTTCAACAGAGTTTAGTATGAGGCTATGATTGTTGCGAACATCGAAGCGCTGCAATGGTTGCTGTTGTTGCAGTTGCCGTTGCAGTTCTAGCCGCTGCTCCGTACCGACACCATGGGGTTTAGTTGTTGTGTTAGTTGCCTGGCTGGGCTTGGCGATACCAATTCTGTACAGCCCTTGACTCACTTGTACTTGCTCGTTGAAGGACTTATCGTTGCGCGGCTTCTCAATGCTGTGCGCCGGTTGGGCGGGACTTGACTGATGACCGGACGTTGTATCGGCAGTTAAAGAGTCAATTGGCTTAACCAGTTGTTGTTTTGGTTGTGATTGTGCCTGCGCCGGAGCCTCAGATTTACACTGTGCATTTAGTTTTTCAAGCGCTTGCTCCAGTGTATGCGTTTTGTGCTCAGATTCTTTCAGTAATGTCTCGTACTTTTCCTTTAAGTAATTAATAGGCAACATGAACAACAATAACTAAATGAAAATCAATTATTAGCACACCTTCCAGATGGTTGCCTCCTGCTGTTTGTTGTTCTGTTGTAGCTTTTGCAACTGTTCCAGCAACGTAGTTGTGTCTTCGATGTGCTTCTTCTTGATTTTTGCGCTTTCAGTTAGCAATTCGTTATGCTTGGCCTCGAGTACTTTGTACCTATTAACTTGCACATCGTACTTCTGCTGAAGCGTTCTCTCTACATCCTGTTGCTTTTCATAGTCATCCTGTATGCTTTGCTTTTCAGCACGTAACAGCTCCACATTTTTCTCTGCTGCTTGTTTGTTTTCCGTGAGTGCTGCATCACATAAATAAAGTATTTAATGTAGATAGGTCTATAGAAGGGGTTTCGTTTGTTGTTTTGCTACTTACATTGCAGCCTTAAGCTCAATTCCTCCTGTTTTTGTTCGCAGTGCAGGCGAAAAACTCTGGTCTCGTCAAGTTGCTGTTGGGACATGTGGTAAATGACAATCATCATAATCACAACAACAAACATGCTCATCAGAATACAGATTCTAACGCGCCCCGAACGGGCAAAACGTGCCGTACTCATTGTCCAAATTGAATATCTTACAATTCCGCAAACTTATCAATAATATTATTGTGTCTCAGTTGACGAAACAATAAAACTAATCGAAAGAATTTAGAAGTGTTGCACAATGTTTCTACAATATATTTGCGTAAGCGTTGCCAGACTCCAACGTTATCGATTTATCGAATTTGTTGAGCTTTCTGCCCAGCAGATTGCGCTTATACTAGTTAGAAGAAAAACTTAAATATACAGTACACGCCGGTAGCTCATAGGGAGAGTTCCTTTCCTGTTGCGGAAAAAGCTTTTCGTTGAGTACCGTACTCTGACTACGACGCGCCGAAAATCATATGAAAACAAAATACACATCTACTTCTTTTCATTTCATTTGTTCACTGTCGTACATACAGAATATAGTAGAAGTTGAATATTAAACGCAATTATTAGGTGTAAAGTGATCGAGTCAATTAAAACACAGCTTAGTGAAACAACAAATATGTGAGTCTGACAGTGTCATCAATTTCAACTGCGTCGACGTTGTGCACGCCAATTTATTTAAATATAATAATACTAACATATGCACACATATAGAAATATGTATTTATATAGAACGCAAATATGCGTCAATCAATTAAATTTGTCAGGAGGTGCTATTACACACACACACGCAAAAGAAAGAGCATAAATTACGTAAATTTAGTGTAAAAGTGCTATAAATGTAACATTTTGGGGTGCATATAATAAGCATGGCCAGACTGTGTACCTGCTCAACCTGTATTACCTGATTTAATTAAACACAGTGGCGGAGTAGGGGAAGTGCTTTGTTTTGGGCTGCTAATTTAACAAATGTCACACTTAAGTCGTTTCAATCCACTCAACTTTTCAGACAGTAACAGTAATCGATACTGAGATATATAACAGTAAACAGTAATCGATAATGGCGAATGAGTTGATAACAACAATTAAAACTCAATGTATACATACATACATATGTATGTAGTCATATATAGACACAAATGTTCAAATACACACGTATACAGTTCTTTGCTGATAAACAACTATTGGATGATTTCTTTAATCTAAATCGTTTTATAATGTTATAGCAATTACCTTTTTTTTTTTGGGGGAACATTGTCCCCAACAACATTTTGGCCTTAGTTTTTAGGCATAAGAGAAAAAATTAGTGTCGGTAGAGATAAAACTTAAAGACCCATGTTTATCTCTACTCTACGACCATGCCTTTGCTAAATTTAAGCTAACTGATCGTTTAGAAGTTGGACTATTTAGCAATAGAAGTGCTTTTACTGATTTAATTATCACAGTAACGCATTGATGCGAAAAGTCACACATAAAATTCATATACTTACTTGAAGTAAGTAAATATAGATTGAATATTGTGAAAATTCAATGTGTAAATGCTCTAATTTGATATGGCTGCTAATCTCTGAAGAGCCGCAACGCGCTGTTGTTGCATATCAATAAAACTTGTACCAGCTGCCTCCATTCTGTGCGGTAAACTAGAACCTAATATGTTTCTGAATAAAAAGATAAGCTTAAGGCCGTATATTAATTATTTAATAATCTTATCTTTTATAAATAAATTCCATATATAATTGTAGTATCATCTGTTAGTATGTATATACAAAAATATACATACATATGTCCATATTTATATGCATATTTTGATAGTGCCGGCAAAGCAGTTAAAAGTCATTCAACCTGTTTGATATTATTTGTTGACATAAATTGAAATACAATCGACATACTCTTTTTTTGCTACCCGAGCTTATAAATTCTTACGGGTTCCTTATAAAAATGTTTTTTAATTCTAGAAAATGGCAGCAACACAACAACAAACCGAAGAGATCCTCCATAACCAACCGCTGATACAGCCGAAGCAGCAGCAATTTGCGTAAGTTATTTACAATTGATATCAAGCTAAAAGAAATGAGCAAACAGATATATTTATGTATCTATATGTATATTACATATATATTTGTATATACCATTTTTTTAACACATGAATATCAACTTTACTTATTCTTATTAATTCGCGAATTGTTGTCGGCACTTAGAGTCTGATAAACAAACTCATGCATTAATATTTTTCCATATTTTATTACAAGTTGTAGCACATACGCGGACAAAATTAATTTGAATGACATAATAAAATGCATATTACAATGATTATAAGTTTATTCATCCATCTGTCTTATTTTGCATTTGTTTTTTATATATATATATTTTTTTTGGGGCTAAACTAAAAATAGCAAGGAACAGCGAAAAGCTTAGAATTGTTTGTGTGCTATGCTGGCATGTTACCAATTATTTATCATATTCACTTAAAACAAAACAAACCCAAATCTAAATGTTAGCGTGCACCTTTACCTTTTGTTGTTTGTTTATTTGTTATTTAAAAATGTATATCGAATATCGATTATATGACATATCGATGTGCTGTGTGCAGTGATCATTAACATCTGCAGCAGTGCTTCTATGTCAATGTCAAGGTTGCCTCTCAGAGAACTGTGGTTGTTGTTGTTGCTGATGCACATGCAAATTGAATGCAAAGGTTAACGCAGTGCAAATATTTGTCAATTAGCCAAAACAAATCAACTGAAACAATTATATATATTTTATTCTATCTATGTGCACATCTATTTCACAGATTGCTCCCGAAGATCATTAACGGAGGCATTGCGGGCATTATTGGTGTAACATGTGTTTTCCCCTTGGACTTGGTAAAGACTCGGTTGCAGAACCAGCAAATCGGTCCAAATGGCGAACGGATGTACTCAAGCATGTAAGTAAAAAAGTTTTTAACCATTCCAAATGTAATTTTTGACGGGCTTTCTCAGGTTCGACTGCTTCCGTAAGACGTATGCTGCAGAGGGCTATTTCGGCATGTATCGAGGCTCGGGCGTGAATATTTTGCTGATCACACCCGAAAAGGCTATTAAACTGACGGCGAATGATTATTTCCGACATAAACTTACCACTAAGGATGGTAAACTGCCAATGAGCTGTCAAATGTTGGCTGGAGGCTTGGCAGGCGCATTCCAAATCATTGTCACCACACCCATGGAGCTTTTGAAAATCCAAATGCAGGACGCAGGTCGTGTAGCTGCTGCTGCAAAATTAGCGGGCAAAACCGTTGAAAAGGTTTCAGCCACACAACTGGCCACGCAGCTTTTTAAAGAAAAGGGCATTTTCGGTCTATACAAGGGCATCGGTGCCACGGGCTTACGTGACGTCACTTTTTCAGTAATTTACTTCCCACTCTTTGCCACTCTTAACGAGCTAGGTCCACGGCGAAATGATGGATCCGGCGAAGCGGTATTTTGGTAAGTAGTATGCTTCAAGATTTCCGTATGTCTCTTTGAACTATTTTAAATTGAATTCCATTAGGTGTTCCTTCTTGGCTGGTTTGGCGGCAGGTTCAACGGCAGCCCTGGCGGTCAATCCCTTTGACGTGGTGAAAACTCGGTTGCAGGCCATCAAAAAGGCCGATGGTGAGAAGGAGTTTAAAGGAATCACCGATTGCATCACGTTAGTAACATCTATATATAAATATGAATTAATTTTATATGTAACTTATATTTTGAATCCATCAGCAAAACTCTCAAGCACGAAGGACCTACAGCATTCTTCAAGGGCGGCCTTTGCCGTATGATTGTGATTGCCCCATTGTTCGGCATTGCCCAAACCGTATACTATTTGGGCGTAGCCGAAGGCTTGCTGGGCGTACAGAAGAAGTAATTGATAAAGTCTATCCAGAAGCATTTTTGCTTTTGCTTTAAGTGTTATATGTAAATGTATACGTAAACGCTGTTGTTGTTACTGTTAAAGCTGTCTAATTTCGATGTAAAAAGTGAAAGCGCTCCATAGAAATATGCAATTATGTTATCCCTTTCATATATATACTTTTATATACATATCTATATATATATATATATATA